GCTGCCCCACTCTGGGGCTGGGGTCTACGTACCCCGCATACAACCCGGGGTCTGTTCCCCGCCCGCAACCCACTGGTTGCGCTCAGGGGCCCCACACCTCTGGGGTCCCTATGAGGCCTCCTCCAACCCCTACAGCCTCACCCAAGCCTCCGGTGTAATACGTAAGCCGAACATAAACTAGAGCCTCCTGGCTGTAACACAAACATAAAGCCTCCTGGCTAAACCATAGTGCCCAATCCTCTCAGGGCTATAGTGAGCTGTATTTGCAAGTCAGGCTTCTTCCCATATCTTGGCCAAGGGAGCTCCTGCCTCTCTGGCTGCTGGCAGGGAACTGCCAGCCTGGCCTCAGCCCTGGGCTTTATAAGGGCCAGGCCCTGCCTCCTACAAGCAGCTGGCTCTCCTTAGTTGCCCCGGCAACCCGCAGCTGGGCTCGTTACCCTGGCAACACTCAGCTGGGCTCATTATGACCTGCCAGGGCTCTGTCTCTCTCCCTGGCAGTTTCTCCTTTCTAGGAGCAGAGCACCGAGGTGCTCTGCGACAATCCCCTAGAGGACACTCCGATTCCTGTCCCATGCTACTGGTTTCTCAGGTCCCTGCCCTATGTTATTCTGCCGTACCTAAATGTCTACATAAGATATGGGAGTCTGCTGTCAGAGAGCAGAGTAAGCCCTTGGTGCTTCACTCTGTCTTGTTCATCCCTGGTCCTCCTTCTGGCCCTGATCCCTGCCTGAATAAGATGTTATGCTACTGGTCTTTCCTTTGTCCACAGGCCCTCCAGCCCTGTTTCACTTGCCTTTGTGTCTCACAGCTTGTCATCCCTTAAATGTAGATGCTTAGGCCTTGACTGCCTTAAGGGCTCTGTGTACTCTGGGCCGCTGGCCCTTTCAGAATTTGACTTCTGCCCACACAGTTGTTGTAGGGCCCCAACTCTTGCAAGATATTTTTTTCTCTCTCACTCTTCTCTGCTCTGTTTTAGCACAACACAGCCCTCTGGGTCCAAAACCCTTACTGAGGGACCCTCTGCCTTAGCATCTCAATACTGGGCCCTGGGTCCTCTCTCTGTCCCCCTCTTTCTCTCTTCTGCCCAGCTTCAGGCCAGTGCAACCTCCTGGGTCCCAGACCTTGGCAGGGCTCTTCCCCAGGGCCTAATACAGGGCATCTCCCAAGCACCCTTCCTTGGCTTCCTAACTATCCTGAATGGCTAGTCAGGCTATAAACAGCTTCTTCTCTATTCAGAATCAGGGCCAGTGTGAGCCTCTGGTCCTGGGTTAGGCTTATATAGCCCTTCTTCTTCCCCCTTTCTGGTTATTTGAACACTGGTCTTCAGGACCAGGCTCAGGGGTTTCCTCTTCCACTTTTATTAACAGGCTTATTGCTCTGGCCTACTGCTTTACCCCCCCATCACCTGCTGCCTATTTCACCAGGCAATAGAGTGGCTGCCCTGCAGCTAGACCTTCTGTGGTCATTCTCTCACTTCTAGTAGCAGGGGTAGGGGTCCCCTGCCACATGGAGCATTACACAACATCTGCAGCCCCCATGTCTACCTCTCACTGACTAACTAGCTAGTTAGCTACTTAACTGAGGGACCACTTCCCAATTACCGACTCTTAAATTAGAGAGCATCTCTAAATTATAACTGACACTACAACATGAAGGAGAAGTAAGTCCCTTTTATCTTCAAAAAAGGGGAAAAACAAAACTTTGGAATTTATACACCAGTCAGCCTTGCCTGTTTCCAGAAAGTTACTGGAATAATTTATTTTGTAAGTACCTAGAACTGTGGCATCCAAGTCATTTGGCAGTGCAAGCTGGATGAGTGGCACAGAGATGCCTGATTTGGCATGTGGAGCCAGTGTGCAGGTCCGATCCAGTGCAAGGATGTGCATCATCTGGCTCATGGGATTCTCACGTCCAGAAATTTGTTGGTAGGATGAACAGCAACAGTGTTCCCTTGCCACCAAATTTCTTGATCCATTGGCTGGATGACACTGCTCTGTGGGCTGGATTTAGCCCACAGGCCATATCTTGGTTACCTCTGACCTAGAATATAATAGAGTAATAAAAAGAATGAACATAGGTTTATTAAGACCAGATCATGTCAAACCAATCTAACTTTCTGCTTTGTCCATGGGGATGCTGGAGAAGAGTAGTGGGTATGATTTATCTTGATTTTAGTAAGATTTTTTGACAGAGTCCCATATTCCATATGGTCTAGGTGAAACAAGATCATAAGGGGCGTTTACAACTGAAAAAAGAAAATTACCAAAATAGTAATCATCAGTAGACTGTTGTCAGAGTGGGAAGACATATCAAATAGGTTCCCACAGGGATATGTCCATGGTCTATACAATTCTGTATGTTCAGTAATGACTTTGGTAGTGAAATAAATGCTACATTAAATAATTTTGGGGATAATTTTGGGATAATACCAATTTGGGAGAAATTACAAGGACTTTGAATCAGAATTCAAAAATTATCTGAAACCAGTAGTATGAAATTCAATTAAATCAAATACAGTAATATTCAAATGCATAAATACAAAATGCAGAACATTTGACAAGGGAGCAGTACTTACAGAAAAGGATTTGTGGTCATTAACTGAATGAGTCAACAATTTGATGCTGATGCAAATATGTCAAATGTCATTCTGGGCCGTCATCAAAAAATGACAAAAATATAAGATTTTGAAGACATAGACTATGCCATGTGTTTGGTTTCTTCAGCCTAGAAAAAGATTTTTGTTAGGCTACATGAAAAGTCTTCAAATATATGACAGAGATGGTTGTGATAATTTGTTTTCTATGTCTGCTGACAATAAGATGAGATATAATCAGCTAAATTTGCAGTAAGGGACATTTAGTTTAGATGTTAAGAAAATCTTAACTATAAGGATAGTTAGTACTGGTTACTGAGGGATGTTGCATAATCCCTATCTTTGGAGCTTTTTAAAAACAAGTTACACAAACATCTTAAGGCATGATCTATCTGATCCCAGAGTTATATCTGATCCCAGAGGAGAGGGATGAACTAAGTGACCCCATGAGTTTACTACCAGGCCTACATTTCTGCAATTCCCTTATTTAAAACCACCTTCATGTTTACAAAGCCCTTCAAAGCTACAGTTTAGCCGTGTTTTAAAAGCACGCAGTAGAGTTGACTGGAGAAAACATTTTTTTAATTGCACCCATTTAAATTGTGTTGGAATATCACAATTTATGAAAATGGATTAGCTCAGTTTTATAAAGGGAGGCAAGGAAGAAAACAATAAAAACATTGTCAATTTATTTCCCCACTTTTTTTTCAGTGTTGAAAAGTTGCATAATTTCTCAATTACAAGGAAAAAAAAGGCTGACAGGCTAAATAGTCTCATTCAAACTCACATTCATTCTCTTGGTTATATGCTCATACAGTATACAATCCATAGAAACACTTGGCCTGTGACCACTATAGTCTTACAGTTCCAACATTGCAACAGGTGAGAAGGCTGAAAAGGGATTAGGGACAGCCAACCCATGCAACCCATGGATGCAGGCCACAAATGGCATGAACAAACAGCTGCTATGTGTGGCATATGAGCTCCAAGGCACTTATAAAGGGAGGTACCAGAATGGAGGGGAGAGAGGGGCTCTTTTCTTCTGGCATCCTAAGGCACAAATTCTATTAGGTACGTCTTTAGAGGGGGGAATTGGAATGGTACTCAGGGAAAGGATTCAGCTTTATTTGTGGCATGCCTGCCAGAAAGGTTGGCCAGCACTGCTTTAGATGTTCCAAAATATGTGTACAATTGAGCACATCTACATGTGTATTAATGCACTTTAGTTAATGCACATTAAATTGAGTACCTCCTTTGTGAGGGCATTTTTACATGTGCTGCCAATGCAGCACTAGACACTTTTAGTGAGCTGCACTAATTAAAAGAGCCCATGGGTCACATGTATCAGTGGTGCAGCATGCCTCATCAGTGAGAAAATGGTGGCGGTGCACTTCGAACTAAAGCACAGCAAACGTGTTTTGGTTCCAAGTGTACTGCCACCATTTTCTCAGTGCGGAGGTGCATTGCACCACTGATACACGTGATGCATGAGGCTGCCAGAGTCAATTTCTGTGCTTCAGCAGACTCAATTAATTGAGTCTTCTCTGACGTGCTGGATTTCCAGCGCATTGGAGCAGGTTCCCCGCATGTGTGGTATTAGGAAAATTGCATTAGCCTGGATGGAAGAGCACACACCAACTGCTGAAACTTCCTTAGCCTGACGAAGGGTTTTTGAACCCGAAAGCTTGCTTAATAATTGTTTTCCAACTATTTAAGTTGGTCTAATAAAAGAGATCAGATTCACTTAAAGAACCTTGTCTGCCTATGTCCTTAGACCAACACGGCTACAACCTACATCCCTCTTACTCTGGAACTCACTTATCTCAAGATGCCATGCCCATGCACTGTGAACACAATTCAAATCCCATCAAAATTAGTGATGATTCTTTATTAACTACAATTATCTTTGCATCTGGACATAGCAGAGGAAATCCACTGGTTATGATCTTTGTCTTTTCAGTAATGGCCACCAGCATAAAATGGAGAGTTATGTACATCATGCATTACTGAGAAGAAATCTGACTGTAATTTAAAAAAAAGAGTTTGTATCAAGGATGTTCATTTGTACTTAATCTTTTCCATTAGGTGGCTTTCTTTGAGTTTAAAAAAAAATACTTGTTTGTTTTTAGAGTTTTAATGGTCCTTGTTAATGGCATAATCTAAACGTTTCAATAACAAAAATAAGTCTCTGTAGATCAAAAAAATAATTGACTCCTGTGCAATTAATATTTATTTTCCTTATTTTTCCAGGGCATTTGGGTCCCTGAAGGAGAAACTGTAAAGATTCCTGTGGCTATTAAGATTCTTAATGAGACTACAGGCCCCAAGGCCAATGTGGAGTTCATGGATGTAAGTAACATGTGCAGCCTCCCTGTCTATGTTTAACAGGCTAATATAGTAGTGAAAAATATCACACTCTAATATACAGAAACTGTAAAAATATCTTTCCATTTCTTTTAAAATTATCTAGGTGTAAATATTGAAAGGCCTTTAGGAACCCTGATATTTAATTAATATTAAAACATTGTAACCCCAAAACCACTAAAGATCCCACATTTAGACAGCAGCTGAACTGAACTGGTCAAGTTTTGTATATAGCCATCCACACACCAAAACCTCCAATCATGTTGGAAACATGTCCTTAGCCTTCTTGTTTTAACATGTTATAAAAAGTAAGGTCCACAACCCCAGGTGGAATATACTGGCCTAGGTGCATTTAAGCTAACAGAACTCAGCAGAGGCACACCAGCAGAGTATTTATCCCTAAACATTTGTCATACTGACATAATTCTACCTAATTACCCTAGTGAAATCTAATTCCAGGATGGCATCACAAGCTATTGAGGCAAAACCAATGTGCAGTACAGAAAGCGACAAATTCTCCAGTTTGTCAAAGCTGCTGGCTATAAAATGGCTTGAGACTACAAATAGACAATTCTCTCTTTTTAGAGATTTTTTCTGCCAATGAGAAGCTAAGGGAAGAAGCTTCTCTACTATCTATGCCAGCTACCCCGTCCTCTCAGAGGAAGCAGAGGTCAGAGCATAAGTGGAAAGGGGCCAGGATGGAACAAAACCTTACTATGTGTCTCTTTTTCTGAAGCCTCCAGTGGCAGAAATTAAAGAAAGCTCCCTATTACTTTAACTTTCTTCAGATTCAGGTGCTGAGGGTTTAGGAGCTGCAATCAGCACTATGCATAAATGAAGAAAAGGAGAAGAGAGAGTACATTAAAATCTCCTTAAGTAGTCTAACATAGTTTTATTAAGAGCTTGGGATCAGGCTTTATAAGTTTTATATTCACAGAGACCTTAAGTTCAATTTTCAGTTCTGTGCTAAGAAAAACCACTACTGACATTGTGAACATGCATGTCGTGGGATGACAATATTTTGACAATCGATACAAGTTTGTACTTTTTTTTTGAAAGCCCTAAATTATAAAATTTCTCTTGTGAACCTGGAAATTACATAGGACTTTGGCATTTTTAAGGTCTGTTCAGTGTGTGTGTAACTTGATTAGCATTAATGAGAGCATAAACCAAAAGGAGACTATACTCCCATTATGTAGTCTACTCTCTCATCCAGAGATGAGTAGAAATGTACAATTACAGCTTCAGATATTTCAGATAAATTATCATGCGTGAATTTTCAGGCAATCAGACTAAAGCTGTAGAGATCAAGGTTTCTTAACACTGTTCGCCGAGTACTGTACATTCATGCTGATGGCATCAATAACCATGGTGCGCAAACAAAGAAGTGAGCAAAATACCATATTTCCTTGATTCCAAGTCGATGCCCCCCTCCCCCCATTTAACATGGGGGTACAAGCCCTTTGTCTTGGAATCAAGTACAAGGTGGTGGTAATGGTGGCTGGGGAGGGAGGGGGAGGCAGACCGCTGCTGCAGCTTCAGCTTTAGCTTTGTTCCCAACCCATGGTTGGGGCCAGAGCTTCAACTGATGCCCTCCCCTCTGTTGCCTCTGTACCTCCTGCCTCTCTCCTGTGCAGCCTAAGGCATCTGCCCTCCCTTCTTCCCATCTCCCTTTCCCCCAATCTCCCCCACACAGTGTCTGCCAGTCACTGTCCCTCCCAACTTCTCCCACTGCTTAGCCTTGCCCCAGAGCCAGCAGACTCTGGCCCTTCTCCAGCCTGGGACATAGAGCATAGCCCCAGCCCATCCCCGTGGCACTGGTGCTGGTTCTATGCTGCTGCTATGGATCCTGCAAGTGCTGGAGCAAGGGTGACTCTTGCGGAGAGGGGCAGGGGGCAGAGACTGCAAGGGGGTAGAGAGGCAGGGTGAAGAAGATGGGTGGAAAGGACAGGGGGCTCAAGACTATGGAGAGAGGCAGAAGCAGTATGGGAGGGAAATGGGATGGACGAGAGCCCAAGGTTGTGGGGTGGTAGGTGAGGGCAGAGGCTGGAAGTGGGGGGGAGAGCAAGGGGCAAGCTGCCTCTGCTCATTTATCCCCCCACTGCCCCCACTCCACCTGCCTCCTGCAGCATCCCTCACTGCCAGCCCCACTGCTAATGCATTCCCCACTGCAGTGGTGGTGGAGATCAATTTAAGATGATCCTCCACTGATTACACTACATGGAAAATTACAACAAATTTATAAATTTTGCATATAGAGAACCTAATTTTGGGGAGGTTGCCTTAAATTCAGGGTCGTCTCAGTTTCAGGTACTTATGGTAGGCCAGACAGACTTTTGGTTTGATGGGAACCTGTGGTGGGGAAAGGGGCAAGAAGGAATAACTATTTGCTTTATGCACAAAATAATTGTGACACTTCAAAAATATTAGTAACTATACATTTATTTTAAAGAAGCCCTAATACACAAGCCACCCATTGAAACAGGTGTGCAAGGAAGGTGGGTCTATTCAGTGGAACCTGTGCCTCCATATTCTGTGCCAGAAGGTGTGAAATAGGGAACAACTAAACAAATCCAGTAGGTCTTGAAACACTTTAGAAAGAAAGGTAAGTAAAGATGGGGCACAGAAAGGCATCTTGATTTGTCTGAGTTCATCTAGCATGTCAGTGACAGAGGCAGGAGTAGACACCAATCTCTTGGTTCTGCTCACTGTACCCCATTGCCTCTAGAATACATGACAATATATATGATAAATTGCTCAGAAATAAGGGATGTCACCTTGATAGCTATAGCTGTAATATGTATCCAAAGCAGTCATATTAATGGTGATTAGGTGCAGTCCCTCTGCAAATTAATGCCTGCCTCCTTCCCCTTCCCCTGCACCCCCAAGCCTGTTTCTTGTTAATGATCACAAGATGAAAATTACAAGATAAGGTTTCTTTTAGTTCTGACAGATAAAAACCCTGGGCCAGCTGGTCAACTGGTGTAAATTACTGAGTTCCAGGTGTAAATTACTCAGTTCCATTGAAGTAAAAAAGTGATATAGCTTAACTATCAATTTTCCTCCAGTACATATGGCTGCTGTTGAAGAGCGGGATGGGACGGCTGTATGGTAGTTTTTCCCCAAGCATTTTAAACAATTTCAGATAACTATTTTTGACAGCAGATTCAATTTAATTTTACTCTGTTTCTTTGCCAGGGATAGTGTTTTTGCATCATTTGTGTTTGAAATAAATAGGAGTCCAATCCTGTACCCATTTGATTTTTTTTTTACTATATTTTTGTAAGAAAGTATTGGGCATTGTCTACACTTAAAAGTTTAGATGTTTTCATTATGCCAACACAGTTAAAGTGACAGCCCTCGTCAAGTAAACAGTCATAGAAGGATAGAAATGATTTTTGTTGATTTATGTTTTTCTGGTTTGATGAAGGGAAATAAGTTACAGTAGTATAATGCAAAACATGCCAGTGCAACTGTACTTGCATTTTGTCTGGCATAGCTAGGTTCGTTTAAAAAAAATGCCCCTAATTGGCATTGTTATGCCAGTAAAACTGCTTAAATGCAGTTCAGGCCAAAGTCAAAGCAGTTATGTTGTTTTGGAAAGGCAATTTTACAAATTGTCCTTTTGACTTAGATAGTTAAAAGCATGTAGGGTCCGATTTTAAAGGTATTTGGGTGCCTATCCTCCATTTGGAGCGTTAGCAAGGTCATTCTTAAATAAACCTGTTTAACACTTCAACCGAAAATAGGAGCAAGAATTCAATGGACGTGAGACCCTTCAATACCTTTTAAAATCTGACCCTTAACCTTCAGGTATCCAGTCCAACTACACATCTTGACATGAATTATTTCCCATGAAGTGATATATGTTCTTGCCTTTTCAAGCGATGAAGTAACATTTTTCCGTGACAGTGTATGTAAAATGTAGAAATCGTTGCAATTTGTATTTTAAATTCAGGTATGAAACTGTGTCTTTCAGATCTCTCCACCCCTTTAGTGACCTAGGGGGATATATAGACATTTTCAATACAAGACTAAAATATTAGCAATATGGCCTGTTGGTTCTTCTAAAACTTTTACTGTTGACAGGAGGTAAGTCAGAGTGTGCTTTATGAGCGGTTGAAATTCTGCTAAATGTTGTGCTAAAGGAGAACAAGGCATGGCAATTTGGAAACTGGGCTGTCATTTCAGCACCCTTGAACACCTACTAATGGATCTATAATGACTATAATGACATAATGCATCATGTTAGTACATGGTATGGACAGCCACCTCCTATCCTGTTCCCATCAGGGGATGCTGAATTGTGTCATAAAAAAAAAATGCATCCCTAACTTTGAACATTTTTTTTGAGAAGCACAGCAGGCAGTATTTTTCTTGTTTTCTTTAGTCATCCCTGACAGTCTTTTTATGCTTTCTCTCTTACTTTTCTTTCTTATCTTGAACTTATCACTATAATAATACATATGCCCTTTTCATTTCTAAACAAAGCAAGGAAAAGTCCACTCTGAGGACTATTCAAAGCCAGGGCATCAATGACAGGGAAAGTCAGCAGCAGTTCAGCAGTGGGGAAGGTGTCTGGGTTGGCAGCATGTCAACGGCAAGGGAGCAGCTGCAGTCTGCCTTCAGAGCAAGCTGCACTAATTTGACCTACTACTCCTAAGAGGTTTTTGACTCCTAGTCTAGTGGAGAGAGGTTTATATTTAGTTTTGTAGGCAATGATGTTTATAACCATTCTCTTCTATGGGGAGTACTGTAGTCTGGTGCAGTTCATTTCAGCGTATAATTAGCTTTGCTAAGTCAGATGATATCATTTCTGCATCCTGATTGGAAGAGTACATCTGATCCCCTCCAGAAGTCTGTTTGAATTGACAGTGCCATGGTTTCTGTTGCCAGTCTATCCGCAAGCATGTACTGGAGAGAAGTAGTGAATGTATCCCAAAGGCCTAGGAGGTATGAGGACCTCCTCAGAGGTGAAATGAAAT